AAATTATCCTTCCCTGCTTAAAATCCTCCCACTTTACCCAAGTCTCCCCCCCCCCCTTTAGTACTTAACCCCTGAAATATTGCTCTCTAGTAATGGAAGACTTTGCTCAAAACAGATAATTAACTCTTGTAGTTTGAGCTATGTCTTTAATAAGGCTTCTAAAGCCCTTTGACTAAGCAGAGGCCTCTTAAAAGGTCTTTGAAGAGGTTGAAGTATACGAATTGTGAGCAAAACAAACTGCCTACGCAAAAGAGCTTCTAGTCCAAAACATAAAATAAATTCTGCTGGAGTGTTTCTGGATGAAACAGAGGTGAACCGCAGTGTGCTGGTTGTGACATCTTCAGAACTGAGAAAACAACCTGTTAAAAAGAACTAGTTAAGAGTACTGTGACCATTTTTCACTATCATCACCTCGGAGAAAAAGAAATTACCTTGTGATTGAACATAAGAGACAGTGCATAGTGAGATTTTATTAGGTTAGCTGGCAGCACACAACAGAGAATACCAGCAAGTGCTAAAAAGTTCATTTCTGATGTGAAGAGGAGTCATTTAGAAACTAAATGAAAAACAACTCAGTCCTTAGAAGACGGAAGAAGCAGGAGCAGAACACCACCATTCAATAACATTCTTTCACAGGAGAAAAAGGCTTACCTATTAGAAGAACTGTATGAGGACATCCATATCTTCTAGATCTCCTATACAGCACAACCTTCTAATGAAGCCAGTTGGGAACAAGATTAAGAGTAAAATCATTTTAATATGATTAACATGATGCTGGCTAGTACAATATTTGTTACAAAAGAAATGAAATTTAGGTCAACTAAGAAGACAGACCTTTGAAACACTGGCTGCTGTTTCTTTGATAGTGTCGTCGCCAGAGGTCAGAACCAGCAAAGAGGAAATCTGTGGGAGCAAGGGCTAAAGTAAGAAATACTCCTTATTAGATCATCCTCTAGAAAACTCAACTGAAAGGATAAGTTCACCTTTCCACAAAAAATAATAAATGCACATTTTTTTACAGGTAAAAAAAATGTGCATTTATTATTTTTTTGTGTTAGGAGCTTGTAAAGCATTCATCAGCAGATTGCTAATGCCATACAGGTCTCCTGCACACTGTCGGTGTATCTGCTTCCCCTATCCCCTATGAGCAAGCCGATACTTGCTGATAGGAAAACTCAATGAACTACCACAGCACTCACAGCTCCGTGGTAGTCCATTGAGGACTACAAGCCGACAGCTGCTAAGGCTGTCGGGACTTGTAGTCCATTCATTCACAGAACACTGTGAATGAATGATGCGGCCATGTAGGCGGAGCCCAGCACAGCTGCACTGTTTTTGAAAACTGACAGCTGGTGTGGGGAACTTCTCCCTGTACATCTGTCACAGGGAGAGGGGGGGCAACGGGCGGCGTCTGCAGGATCAGGAACATGTTACATGTTCCACCCTAAAAATGGATGGAACATGTAACATGTTCCCAAAGGTGAATTTATACTTTAACCCTTCACCTGCTGGGGGGGGGGGGGGGGGGTTGGGGCTTTTAAAGTGATATTAAAGTAATTAATATTTATTCAAATAAAAAACATGATACAAACAATGATATTGCACAGAGTGGTCTCTTACCTCTTCTTTGGTGGTTCCCTACCAGTGTTCTCCACTCTTCCAAGTGCCCCCATAACAAGCCATGTGCTAAGGGAGCACCTCCCGAGCCAGGCTGTGTGCATCCATAGACACACACAGCACAGCTCGGCCATGCACACCGCTCATAGGATTTGATTGATTGCAGCAGGAGCCCATGGCTCCCGCTGCTCTCATTGTAGCCTGTGAACCTAGAAGTAGAGGAGAGCAGGACAGCGTGAGAGCTCTCAGGTAATTGTTTGGTGGGGAAACAAGTACAAACGTGTTTTTTTTTTTTATACCTTTATGCGGTGAATGCATTAGGGTAAAACACACCTAGACTTTAATCCCCATTAATAAAGATCAATATAATTTAAAATGGTTCTGAAGGCAAGAGTTTATGTTTTTTTTTTTTACCTTAATGCATTCTCTGCATTAGGATAAAAGAACTTCCATGATCATCTCCCCCCTTCCTTAATTACTTACCTGGTTCCTGCACTACTTTGATCTGACTTTCATGCGACTTGAGGGCCATAGACAATGTAAACCCTCCAAAGTGAAATGAACGTTGCACCTGAATGTTGCACATGCGACTTCTATACGACTTTGTACAGCACAAACGGTCATCCTTGGTCAAAGCCAAAGATGCACCATAGTCAAACTTCTCCAAAGTTGCATCAAAGTCGCGTCAAACTCACATCAAGTTGCACTATAAAGTCGCAATGAAAATTGCACAAGTGTGAATGGACCCTTAGAAAAACTGATAACATGCCATTTTTTTCCTTATCTACAGTTGTGTTCAAAATAATAGCAGTCAGACATCACTAACCTGATCAATCACTGTTTTTGGTAGAAATGATATTTCTACATGGCAAATAATTTACTAGCAGGTGTAGTAGAGTAATAGAAATCCAACAGACCCAACAGTCATGACATGCATGCTGCTGATTCTGTGTAATTGAATCACTAATTGAAAGGGACATGTTCAAAATAATAGCAGTGTGGAGTTCTGTTAGTGAGGTCATTCGTTCTTTGAAAAACAGGTGGCAATTATTGCCCTTATTTAAGGAAGGAAGGCAGCAAATGTTGTACATGCTGGTTACAGTGCATTTCTCTCTGAAATTCTGAGGAAAATGGGTCGTTCCAGACATTGTTCAGAAGAACAGAGTACCTTGATTAAAAAGTTGATTGGAGAGGGGAAAACACATAAAGAAGTGCAGAAAATGATAGGCTGCTCAGCTAAATGATCGCAAATGTTTTAAATGGCACCCAAAACTTGAAAGACGTGGAAGAAAGCGAAAAACTACCATTCGAATGGATAGAAGAATAGCCAAAATGGCAAGGACTCAGCCAACAATCAGCTCCAGGAAGATCAAAGAAGGTCTAAAGTTACCTGTGAGTACTGTTATAATTAGAAGACGCCTATGTGAAGCCAAGCTATCTGCAAGAAGCCCCCGCAAAGTCCCACTGTTGAAAAAAAGATGTGCTGAAGCGGATTCCTGCAGCAAGAATCAGCAGAAGTTTGTACTAAATGAATGACAGGCTGACAGCGGCCTCATCTGTCCACAGCTGTCTGCACAGTCATGGCCAAAAATATTGGCACCCATTGCATTTCTGTCAAATAATGCACCACTTTGCCCAGAAAATTGTTGCAGTTGCAAATGTTTAGACATTCTCATGTTTATGTCTTGTTTGACACAAAAAAGTGGAGAAACAAAAAGCCAAATCTGACACATTCCACATAAAACCCCAAAAATGGGCTGGACAAAATTATTGGCACCCTCAATTTAATAATTGATAGCACACCCCTTGGTTACAGGAAGTGCTTGATTTCAGTTATTTTTTCCATCAATTAGTTCCTTACACCTCTCTACTGGAATTTTGGACCACTCTTCTTTCGCCAGCTGCTTCATGTCTCTCAGATTGGAAGGGTTCCTTTCCCAACTGCTGTTTTGAGATCTCTCCACAGGTGTTCTATGGGATTGAGATCTGGACTCATTGCTGGCCAGTTCAGTTCTCTCCAGTTCTTTGTCTGAAACCATTTCTGGGTGCTTTTTGACGTGTGCTTTGGATCATTGTCCTCCTGTAACACCCATGACCTCTGACAGAGACCCAACTTTCTAATACTGGACCCTACATTGCACCCCAGAATTCTTTGGTAGTCTTCAGATTTTCATAATGCCATGCACACGGTCAAGACATCCAGTGCCTGAAGCAGCCCCAAAACATCAGTGAATCAATTATCTAATCCTTTTGCACTGTTACAGATATCCCAACCCCTTGTGCCAAAAGCAGCAAATGTGAGAAAGTGAAAAAAAAAATTATAAATATTTCAAATATATCCTTGTGATCAAAACCAAATATATTACTACTGCACCATAAACTTACACATGTATGAAATATACTAACTGTGATAGAAATAATGAATGTGAACTGGCTGTAATGCACTCAATAGTCGCTCATACTAGTCATCAAACCTTCAAAAAGTCAAAAATTGTGCTGCGCTAGTCACTTAAGTGTAAGTGTCATGTTCAGTCCCAAAGGTAGTAACCACAAACAGTGAATTCCATAAAAACAAACTGTGATCACAAAAATATTCCTAAAAACGCTCGTGTGCATAAACACCAACACATATAAATAAATATTAATATATGTGAATAAGTGTCCAACGGAAAAATAAAATGTCCCATGATTAGCTAAATAGCAGCAGTACTCCAGAATAGGACTACAACTCAATAATACACCTTCTTCCTGACTTTTTTCCTTCTTATCAGCAGCAAAAAAATGATTCATACAAAGAAGAGTAATGGTTTTCCAAGTAGATCAGAGAATCACAGGCACACCAGTCAGAGCCTGTCACTGGCAATTAGGAGAAAGCACTCGATGTGTGGGGTCAGTCGCTCCGCAACGGCCGATCACCCCCCCAGGCCCACCATGTTTGACTGTAGGGACTGTATTCTTTTCTTTAACCATTTGCCTACCGGGCACATTCACCCCCTTCCTGCCCAGGCCAATTTTCAGCTTTCAGCGCTGTCGCACTTTGAATGACAATTGCGCGGTCATGCAACACTGTACCCAAATGAATTTTTATAAATTTTTTTAAACAGATAGAGCTTTCTTTTGGTGTTTTTTTTTGCTAAACAAACCAAAAACAACTGAAATTTTTGAAAAAAAAAAGTTTTTTCTTAGTTTCTTTTATAAAGTGTAAATAAGTAATTTTTCTCCTTCATTGATGTGCGCTAATGAGGCTGCAGTGATGGCCACTGATAGGCAGCACTGATGAGGAGACACTGGTAGGTGGCACTGATGAGCACTGAAAGTCAGCACTCATATATGGCACTGATAGGCAGCACTGACTGGTACTGATAGGCGGCACTGACTGGAACTGTTAGACAGCACTGATGCGCACTGGTTGGTGGCACTGCTTGGCAGCACTGACTGGCACTGATACGTGGCACTGATTGGCAGCACTGACTGGCACTGATAGTTGGCACTGAAAGGCAGCTCAGATGGGCACTGATATGCACTGGTAGGCACTGATATGTGGCATTGATGTGGCACTGATGGGCACTGGCAGGTGGCATTGATGGGCACTGACAGGTGGCACTGATGGGGATACACTGATCATCAGGGCACTGTAAAAATGTAAAATTCCCGTGTGAGAAATGCCGATTACTGGCTCTCCTCTCCTCACGAGCTGTCAGCACGACAGCTTGTGAGGACAGGAATGCCAGTAACCGGCATTTCCTTATTTCCATGCGATCAGCTGTGATTGGACACAGCTAATCACATGAAAGAGCCGACTTCATCAGCTCTTTCCGCAGATCGGTGATTTGCTGTGTCCCAGGGACACAGCACACCACCGATCGCTGCGCTGCGTGCCCCCGGGGGCATGTGGTTAGAGTGGGAGGACATCATATGACGTCCTTCCAGATCAAGAGAACTTCCTTGTGCCCGTCATTAACTTTTATGGCGGACGGGAGGAGGTTAAAGTCCTCATTGCTTTTTCTGACAACAGTAAGATGATTGGCTTTACCAAAAAGCTGTAATTTTGTTTCGTCTCTCCACAACACATTCTCCATAAAAGGATGATGGCTTCCTCAGGTAAGTTTTGGCAAACTCCAATCTGGTTTTTTTTATGTTTCTGTGTCAGCAGTGGGGTCCTTCTGGGTCTCCTACTATAGCGTCCCTTTTCATTCAGATGGTGACATATAGTTCCAGCTGACACAGTTGTACCCTATGCCTGAAGGTGGGCTTGAATTTGTCTGGAAGTTGTTCAAGGTTCTTTATCCACCATTCAAACAATTCTTTGTTGCAATCTTTGATCAATATATTTCTTTCGTCTACATCCAGGGAGATTAGCTACAGTACCATAGGCTGAAATGCAGGGGTGCTAATATTTTTGGCCATGACTGTAATTGCACATACTGCGATTGCCTGCAGGTAGGGACAGATTATTGGCGCTAGAAGCAGAAAGGTTGCCCTATCAGCTTCTGGGCATACTGCATCTATAAAAGTCTGTACAAAAGAGAAAAAACTCCTGTCCTATGAACGTTTTCCCAATCCTTTGCTATATAACCTTTGTTTTCAGCAAGAAGTAGTGAACTAAATTACTCCATTGTAGTTTAAGCAGTTAAATGTTTCATTTGCCGATATTTAGATATTTCACTGGTTCCAACAGTAAAATATCCACTTTGGTGTATAATTATGAATCAGCAAATGTGACCTTCAACAAATATTACTGTTTTGTTTACTAATTATCCTCCTCCCTGTCAGCTTGAGCACACAGACACATTCCCTGCACACAGTTAACCCTTTGATCGCCCCTCATGTTAACCCCTTCCTGCCCAGTGTCATTAGTACAGTGTCAGTGCTTTTTGTTTTAGCACTGATCACTGTATTGGTGTCACTGGGGATGTCAGTGACACTGAATCATTTCCTCCCAGTGTCAGAATGTCTGCCGCAGTCCCGCTATAAGTCACTGATCGCCACCATTACTAGTTAAAAAAAAGAAAAAACTTCCAGTATCTATACCGCCATTTGTAAATGCTATAACGTTCAGGTTTAAACCAATTAATTTACACGTATTGGTATTGGTATTGGTATTTTTTTTAGCAAAGACATGTAGCAGAATACATTTTGGCCTAAAATTTATGATGACATTTGATTTCTTAAATTTTTTTACTGGACATGTTTAATAGCAAAATATATAAAAAATATAATTTTTTTCTCAAAATTGTCAGTCTTTGTTTTTATATAGCGCAAAAAATTAAAAAACGCACAGGCGATCAAATACCACCAAAAGAAAGCTCAATGCGTGGGAAAAAAAGGATGTAAATGTTATTTGGGTGCAGCATTGCATGACTGCGCAATTGTCAGTTAATGTAACGCAGCACCGTAATGCAGAAAATGGCCTGGTCAGGAAGGGGGGTAAATCCTCAGGAGGGCAAGTGGTTAACCTACGTGGAACATGTTATTCATATACAGTAAATGATTGACGATCTGTGAATGTCTGGTGAATGTTCACTGCTTTGAAAATAGAACTTTTTTTGGACAGGAATTCTTTTATATAATTTCTTAGTCTCTTGTATCTACATTTTTTATTTTTAATGGCAGTTAACCCCTTCCCACCTAGCACCAGCATCCCCTTAACAGGGTCCTTACACCTGGGGGAGGTAAGGCCCGGGAATCACATGACCACTGTGATTGGCAGCCAGTTCCCCATGTTCTCTATTATTAGTAGAGACCGAGAGCTGTCTTTGACAGCTTGGTCTCTGTGCTGGGAGCTCGCAGGGAGCATGCTGTCTGCACAGAAACCTCTGCCACCCATGGACACACATATGAGGTCTGTCCTGAACACCTGAGATTGTTGAACGTGCACAGGCTGCAGTCAACAAACAACGGCCACTGACAATGCGAGAACTAGAAGCTGATCTGGGGATTCCAAAAACTAACTGCACCCGAGATTTTGATGCAGGATCTTGGCATGAAATGCGCTGTGGCAAAATCCTTTGCAGGGAACTGAGGTGCCTTTGGCCTAATTACAATGTTTCCTGAATCTTCTATCTTCTTCAGTAAATGTCTCTATTTTTCATATTACCTGGCTGGAAACTTTCCGGACAGACCTATTATGCATTATGTGGGAGGCACTTCTTATTTGCATATTAATAGTTATTTTTTGTCATTTGTTTTGGGTAGAGAGGATTTATATTTTAGCTGGCATTTGCGCTCTGATGATGCCACACAATTGTTATTATAAATTGTTTTCCAATTTCACATAGTATTGTTGTTTTATGAGCTTGTCTAGTCTATCAAGCCAGATCAGACGTGAAGCTGAAAAGTAAAATCGAGCAGAAAATCAGCAAAATATCTCCAGTGAAGAACAATAATGTCTATTTTCTCTAGTTAATTAAATCATTACCCCAGAGTTTTAAAAAATTACAAAACTCCTTCACAGCTGAGCTGTTATTCAGAGCTGGCAGATAATAACTGATGCCTTAAACACAAAATATGACTATAGTACATCCCAACTAAACTAAAGTGCAATATGTTCCAACTTGTGAGTTCAGAGCTAAGCGTTCAGTAATAAGCCTCTGATCTCAGATGAGACACCTGGGCACCATTGTCATTCAAAGGAAGGAGATTTTGTCAGTTATGCACTTACATACTTATCTAGGGAGACAAATGTATATTAAATGGAAAACGCTATGGGATCTGCACTGATCAGTGGTGGGCATATGACCTGTGCATCAATTTTTACTGAACCCCAAGAGAACAAGAACACCAGCAGTTACACAGGGACACACATGGCAGCCTATTGGAAAAGGCAATTTCTTTCTTTTGTCCAGACCACAATAAAAATCTATGTCATTGGCTTAGATATTAGATTAGGTGCTATTGATGATTCAAGAGGTGAGGCCAAAGTATTTATCACTGAGGTCAAGCAAGGAACAGAGTCAACCACTCTGGTGGGGTAGTACCATGGCAGGAGGACCTGCCAATACGATGGAACATCATGTTTGTTTCCTTTGTTAGATGTTGTCTTCAGTAGTACTTTTTTTTTTCAACATGATCCAGTTTACAGGTACAAAATAGACACGGCTCTGTGCACATCTGACTACCTCTCTAAATAGAATCAGTAAACGTATTGATATAAAGTGAATCTTCTTCCCAAAGATCAAGTATTCATATATTTGTTTGGTTATTAATATACTGTTTTAAAATGTACCTTTTTGATGTTTTCATTTTTTATGCTGCTACTAAATACCTGGTGATCCTGCTAGTTCTCCTGGGTTTCCTGTTCTAAACTGACCATTCCAAACATGAGAGCAGATTGGTGCTGGCATGATCAGTTTGCATCCTGGGGACTGCTACTGGAAGCTCCAGGAAGCTGTGCCAGTATCTTCCGTGGTCAGTTTTGCGGCCGTGCCTCGAGCCGACATCTGCTGTGTTAATTGATAGTGGAGGGTGTGACGATTGAGCGCAATAGAGACATGGATGCTGTATGTGACAGCCATCTTGTTAGGTCTCAGCCATGTTGTCTATCCTGTCCTCCCTCCTCCCTCTTGAATAGAATTTATAGCTGTAAGTTGAACAGAGGTCAAAAGGGCCTCTTATCCTAAATAAAACACAGCTTGATGAAGCTCCAGGGCTGTAAACCGCTAATTAGTCTGGTGCCAGGTGTCTGCTTTGAAAACCACTTTCCTCTACCCAATCGTAAAACAATAACTCAGTCAGCCATGACCTGTTAGGCCATTAGGGCTAGAGCGTGCTATAAAATGTACATTCCACATGTAGACATTTTTCATACAATTCATAAATATTAATTAATATTTATGAATTGTATATTAATATTCGGTATATTACATGGTATATATTTAGATTGATCATTCTAATAGGAGTCAAACAAGGCCATACATGACTATATTGGCACCTAGAAGAGAGAAGAAGCAATCTCTTTCCTCCTGGGTGACAAGGGTACGCTGTGTGAGGTATCCCTGAGTTTGAAATATAATTCTGAATATTAATCTGCCAGTTGCTAGGATGCTACATGTACCTATTGGAGGTTATTACCTTAGTATGAAATTGTAAGGCGACTTGGTCATAGCCTTGGTTACCGCCTAACACCCATCCCCAAACTGGATGATTGGTTATTTGTTCTCAGGCAACACCCCTTTAATATGATAGAAAAAGACTGACAGGCTGGAGAAAAGACAACTCTCGTTCAGTCAGGAAACATCTAACGGACTTGAGAGCCAAGGCAACCTTTTTGTTTTTGTTCGGACAATTGGACTCTACTTAAACCAAAGACATTGCAAGTATTCTGCCTTCTGAACTCCTTTCTTTTATTTCTCTGTTGTTTCATTGCTCTCTTTATATCTTTGGAACATCTTTTTCTGTAAATATTTTAATTGCACCATTTTGACCTTTTTAATAATAAATCCTATTTTGAAAAGTGTTGAAACTGTCTCTAAAGCTTTTAATGCAAACTAAAGTATTCCCTGTCTCTTGAAGAGTGCTACGGTGTGTAATAATCCTCTGAATACACTTGTCTGTGGTGACAGTGTATATTACAGACGCTTATACTAATATCATAGTGTTACTGCTAAGATTTGTGAGTTTCCTCCTTCTCTGTAAAAAGGTGGTGGTGGCATTGAGAAGGGTTAATTGCATAATTAACCTGACCCAGTAACAATCGCTCTCATGCTGCTGGCACATAGATTGTAGTCCCGTGAACTGGAAAATCTTTGTGCAGGGCTCAGCTGAGAGTGGCATTGCTACCCAAGTGACAACGCAGTACGATATCGGCTGGTCCTTCGGTCACGAGTTGGTGAGAAGGACAGGGGTCGGGC